GCTGCTTCCGGCATCAGTTTTTGGTTTTTGATGTCTCTCTTCGTCTACCCTTTTACCTGTCCAGCAAGGGAGGCCCTGCCAGTAGCTACGCTGCCACTGGTATAGCTCTCAGGGTCCTTGGCATACTCAAATCCCCTCACCACGATAAGGTGGAGACACCAATGAGGGTGTAGAATCATTATGGGTGTCAAATCCTGTAATTCCTGTAGAGATCTATTTAAGAGACTACAGATCTTAACTTTGCCTTATGAATATATATTCATTAATAAACTTCATTACAAATAACGAAGAACATTTTCAGACAAATGCAGATGTACACAGTGTTAACACAAGACACAAACACTGTCATCATAAACCAATTGCTAACCTCTCATGCTTTCAGAAAAGCGCATATTATGCTGGGATCAACATTTTTTAATAACCTGCCATCTGATCTCAAAGGTCTTATGAATGAAAAGGCATCATTTAAAATAGCACTGAAAGGATACTTAAATACACATTCATTCTACTCTATTGATGAATACCTGTTGCTAGAAAATAACTTATGTATCTTTAAATAGCCTTGTGTGTAGTCACTGTGTATTTTTGGTTTCTCTTGTGTGAGAATTCCATTGGGACTGTACATATGTTTTGTATTTATTTGACATGTTCCACATCCTGCAGTCATTTTAACTAACTTTGGATTCATGGACTGCAATGTAATGTACTCGTAATATCATCTTGATCCATTTTTTTGTCACTCAAATCCATCCTCAAGGTTCATTACTTTGGTTTTTCAGGTACACTTAACTCCCAAATATGTGCCACTGGTCTCAAAATTGGTGGCAAATTTGGGTATTTGATGGAGTGTTTGTTTTTAGATGTGTGTCCAAAAATATCAGTCAAGCAAATGTAGCAGCAAGATATATGGTTTCTTGTTTCTCTCCGATCTGTGGGTACAGCAAATGGCATAGCATGTTGTTTTCTAGTAAGTCGTGCTTTGAGATTCATAGCACACATTGAACAGCAAATGTGAGGAGCCCAGCGTTTGCCCTGGTCACTGATATAGCGTCCAAAATACAATTCATATCGCTTTCTTTATGGCAGGAATCATTATTCTTTCTTGATACTCAAAAGAGAGCAGACCACAAATGTGTCAAAACACATTTCTGTTATTTGTCCATTGCATTGCATATTAACACAGAACTCAGAGTAAACGTCAACATCATTTTCATGGATTAGGCCATACATGGTCTGTTCCATCCTCGTGAAATGTATGGTGATCTCTCCAGCTTAACTATGGGTGTTCTGTGTTCCATTTTCTTTCTTGGTTGTATGTTAGAATTTTCTTTGGAATCTCTCTGTCTTCCATTCTTTGCTTGAGCAGAACAGGACATGTCATTGCCTTTAGAATTTTTCTACTGGAGTATGCATATGAAAGGACCTCATAATATGGTTTGTTAGTAGAATTTTTGTGGTCCATGATTGAAGGCTTTCAGTTCATAATGTAATGTTTGTCTGCAGTTCCTCGTACATGGTGATGATTTTTCCTTCAGTTGTTTACAAGGTGGTCTGGAATTGTTCTAATGTAGGAATGTGTTATAAATTAAGGTACATATTTTTGCCATCACAACTGACACATTGTTCTGTTTTATTTGCAGCTTCAACTGAGAGAACTGACGAGGCAGTTGCAAGAACAGCAGCATGATCTACGAGCAGTGAGATTGTGGTGCTCTATAAATTCCTGGGCTCTATCAGTATCAGATGATTTACAATCATCTCCACTGCTCTTGGAAACAAAGCATGTTGCTTCTGAATCCATACATATCCTTCTTTGCAAAGTGGTTATTGCAAGACATTTGGATATAGAATTAGGCCTTGCACTTTTATTTGCCCTTGGTACTGATGCTGCTGTTAAGTGGCTCTGTCGCTCTTTAGAAACCTTCAGGCAAGACTTCCAAAAATCCAGTGCTGTAGCCCATTTGGGAGTGTTGTTCTGCAGCCACTGCAAGTTGGACAGCAAGCTTTTTTTATCTGTTCACATGAAATGTACCTGGGCTAAACGATTTGCTGAACATGGAATGAACTGTATTGAAATACTTACATCGACTGCTTCACAACACATGCACATACTGCAGTCTCTGATGAAGTTGAAAAATGTGGAAGTTTCATTGGTGGTGGAATATTGCAAGGATTTTGAATTGGACCTTCAGGAATGTCTGCTACTGTATTTGAAAAATATTCTGGTGACCTGGGATCCTGAATTTGAGATTGAGAAAACTGTAGATGGAAAGGAAATGTTGATTGTGCTGAACACAGAAACCGAAATTTCAAGAAAGTGCCAGGATATAATTGATTTAATTGAGAATAAGGAAAGTTTGGTCAAATGTCTGAATTTGATCTTGAATTCTCTAAACTATTACAATTATGAAATGTATATTTACATTATTAAGCTTCTTGAACAACTTTGTCCATCTCATAATTTAATCGGCAAGAAAATTCTGCTCATGTTTCTGAGAGAATATGTAAGAGTTCAGGGTCCTAAACAAGAAGAATTAGACAAATGGCTTCTTCATTTCCCCCAGTCACTTACTCTGCCAAAAATTTCACAGTGGCGTCTTCCATTCTTGCCATTCATGAGGCCTAAACCATTGCTTGTATTGACACCAGAGTTAAATCTTAAGACCTACAAGCAGTGGATTGAATTGTCAGCTGTACTTGGAATCGAAAAAAATAATATATGTAGTGTTACAGTTCGAGAGACAATGCGGATCAGGACGACTTCTACTGACAAGTGGAGTATTTGTTCGCATGACTCTTTACTCCTTAATCAAATAGAGGAGTGTGTTAATAACATAAGTAACTTGGAAATTGCAAGTGCATGTATGTACTTTGTGATGAATCATATACCCCCAGGTGCTGACCAGGTAGCTGCAGCAAAATTATGTTACACTTACACACAGAAGTGGGCCCAAAACAGTGGGGTCATCAGTGCAAAAGAATATCTGAACCGAGTGAAATTTAGGTATTTATGCTTAGCAACAACTCATATCTTGCATCAGTACGATTTGGGCACATTCAGTTACTTGCAGCTTGTTCCCAAACCATTAGAGCTTATATCAGCTCTATACCAAGATCCCAGTATTGTTGCTCGGGGTAAGGGACAAATCGCACATTTTCCAGGTAAGCTATGTGTGTATGTACATATATATGATTCTAAAAGTTTTAAGCTCCTAGAAACTCAACAGAATGCCAGTTCTTAATACTGTACATTTGTTGATAAAACTGTCTGATATGCTGAAGATTACTGGGCCACTGTCACAAAACTGACATCCATTTGTAGTAATATGGTTGCTATACTTAATAACATATTAGAAGCTTGGAAAATCTGTATACATGAAGCAACTATTGTCTTCTGGGTTGTAATGCCTTGTAATTCAGAGAGAGCCTGACATTTTGGAGGATCACAACACCTCCATCTTAAGGATCAAAGAGTAAGCCAGACACAGAATCAGCTGAACCAGGTGGTAAGGTGAGGAAATTGCAAGTGGAAAATCTGGCCTGATATAAGTCAGTCCAAGCATGAAAGGAACTGTGAAAGAGTCAATGAAGGAGTGGCCACTCTCTGTACAGGAACTTTGAAGTAGCCAATGGAAGCAAAGGAAGTGGTATCTCATTTTAATTTATTTTAATATTGTTCACCCACCAATGTCTTGGTCTTCTCAATGGTCTTCCTTCCAGCTTTCCCACCAATATCCTCTATGCATTCCTCCTCTCCCCCATCCATACTACCTGCCCTGGCCAGCTCATCCCCCTTGACTTGGTCTTTCTAGTCATACTTGGAGAAGAGTACAAGTTATGAAGTTCCTTATTATGGAGTTCTCTCCAACCTTCTGTTACTTTATCTCTCTTCGCTCCAAATATTCTCAACACCATGTTGTCAGTCACCCTCAATCTATGTTCTCCCTTAAAGTCAGAGACCAAGTTGCACACCCATACAGAACCACAGGCAAAATTATAGGTTTGTATATTCTAATTTTTATGTTTTTAGACAGCAGACAGGAAGACAAAAGCTTCTGGACTGAATGGTAGCAAGCATTACCCAAGTTCAGTCTCCTCTTAATCTCCTCCTGAATCAGGTATTAATTTGTAATCGTCATTCCCAAATATCTGAACTGTGCCACATTTTCAGAACCTCTGTTTCCTATCTTTATGTCATGATTTTACCCTGCCTTTTGGCCTCTCAGTAACAATGGTCTATATCATGATGAGTTTGTAGGTTCCAGGACAGACTTGGGGGGTGGGGGCATAAATTCTCTTAACATTTTTATGCATAACTCCCATATAACAAAAGCTAAAGATCTTGATCCCCTAGACTTCACTGTTTGGTATTTTCATCATAGTTTAACAATTTTTATTGTTGGTATGCAGACATAAATGGAGCAGTGAAAGACTTGGCATCTTTACATGAAGAGAACTACATCAAACTGTGTTTGAACCAGCTTATCAAGTGGCTGCAACCAAAAGGTCTTCAGCCTAGTCTACTGGAAGACACTTGTGACTTAACAAGACTACTCCAGAATCACATAGAAGTTGATCACAGTGATGAAGACAGTTTTCACAGGTATAACCATTCAAATTCCTTCTTCAGAAATGTTAATATTATCACTACTTCTTGGAGTAAATTATGCAGATCCATCATGTATATGTACAATTTATATTCAAATAGCTGAAAAGGCTTCATCATGCACTTGTCTACTCATATTTATAATAAAGTGTTGCCTCTTGCCTGCCTGCCCACCTCCCTGCCTACCTACCCACCTACCTACCTTTATTCCTGTTGCTCCCACTTGGAGCATAGGGCATCCGTGAAACACTTCAGTTTCTTAACTCTTTGACTGGCGCGAAGGGTATTTAAATGCCACCCCTGTCCTGGCAGGCCCTTTAAACCTTATGTCGCTAAAGTGCATGTAGTTACTTTTTCCTAAACAACTTCAACAAAAATTGGTTTTTAAAAACGAAATTTTTAGGAACTAATTAAAATACAATATTTTATGCAATAAATGCTTTTCCACACCTCTTTATTTGTTTTTCTTCGTGTGATAAACATTGAAACATGAAAGTTTGCAGAGAGCCACACCACAGCCTGCACGCATGATACTTGTTTCTTTTCTAACCTTGTGCTTAGCACTCACGCGACACTTTCTCAGGGCACCATTCTTCTTATTGTTACTGTTAGGAACATGGACCATTTTGTGAATTTTCAAGCCACCCTCTAGACGATTTGCTGGCTCTT